TTTTTGTATTTTTAGTAGAGACGGGGTTTCACCATGTTGACCAGGATGGTCTCGATCCCTTGACCTCGTGATCCACCCGCCTCGGCCTCCCAAAGTGCTGGGATTACAGGCGTGAGCCACCGCGCCCGGCCCTTATTTGATATTTTTTCAGAATAGAGCTGCTGTGCCTTCTGGGTATCAGGAATCTGCCTGTTTTAGGCGATTGCTGCTAGCTCCGGATTATAGCAGTACTGCAGTGAGGCTTAGGTCATAGGGGTTATCTCCACATGAACCTTTTGCCCTCCTGCTGTGGCTACCTGTCTGTACATCATGGCATAGTGTGTGTGTCTGGGTGCACGTGTACATGCACATGCGTGGGCCTTTGTGTGCACTTGTTCACCCCCCCAGGCTGTGGATGGGAGAGGGTCTGGATAAATCACTGCAGGTGCTCTTACAGCTCAGAAGCCCATTCCGCTGGATAATCTACGCCCTTCATCTCATTTGACCCATTGTTTTGTTTGTCATTATAGGTATAGCCTTTCCTTCATACCATTTGCAAGGTAAGACTGTATTTGGAAATATGATTTCTGTCATTCATTTTAATTTAGAGTGTGCTTTCAGAGAGTACATCTTGTTTTATTTATCTTTGCTGAAATCTTTTGAGCCAAATAGACAAATATTATACATCTCATTTATAGATTAATAAGTTAAAGGTCACCCCACCACCCACTGTAATTATACAACTAGTGATGGATGTTTACCCAGGTACACCAATTTCTGATGCTGTGAACATTCTACTCTCATATATGGTGCATATATGCACATTATTACTCTTTTAACCTGTAGCTTTGAGTAGGTTTTTCTTTTATAAAGGTGAATATCACTTTAATCACTAAGATATGGAGGGATCTCCATTTGTACTTGTTTTCTTGCAGTATCCCACTGATGGGAAAGTTTCACAAGAGTTTAAAAGACAATAAGCAGTACCAGGGCAGCAGTGTGACCTCGAGCAGCTCTCTTGACCCCTCTGGCCTCAAAGCATTGATAAGTAGACTGAGTTGGTCTACATCATCTCCAGAGGCCTCTTTTAGTTCTGAAATTCTAATACTCCAATCCTCTTTAAGCATGTTCAATGATGGACCTTTCAAAATTAGCCACATGGTCTTTGCCTCTGACTTTGTTCTAGTGCAACTATTTAACTTACATTCTTTCTTTAAATAATTACCTGTTAATTAAAAACAAGCTTTAAAAAAAAAAAACTCTACTGAAGAAATGAAAAATTATGCATGACTTGAGAAGGAGGAAGAGCAATCTTTTGCCTTACAAATTCGAAGACTGTTACTGACAGTGATTTGAAAGTGCTGAGGAGTGATTGGATGTGAAGTTAACAAGCCCTTCAAGCGAAAGACAGCTGGGTGGCTTTGTTGATGGATTCTAGGAGGGTAACAGTTATGAAATACTCCATGTAGACCTGGCTGGTTTTGGGGGCTGGTGGCTTGTCTGAGAAGAATATGGGCAGGGATATCCTGGGAAGCTAGATTTTTATGTGAAGTAAGCCAGAGTCCATCGTAGCTGAGCATCCAATGAGATATTGATCAACCTGCCAACATTTGAATGTCTTTTGGTCCTTGAACCAGCCACATAATTTGTAGGGCCCAGTGTAAAATAAAAATGTGGGCTGCTTGTTTAAAAATGATTAAGAATTTCAAGATGGCAACATCAAGGCATTGAGCCCAATGTGGATCCTTCTAAGTATGGGGCCAGTGTAGTTGCACGGGTCTCATTTGTGAAACTTGCTTGGAGTCATTCGTCAGAGCTTCAGGCTTGATCTGGATTGGCATGTATAAAATTTATGTACAAGTGATTAATAGAATGATGGAATTTTATTTGAGATGGTGAGTTTCATGTGCCGAGCAGATGAATTACTCCTGTAGTACAGAGGGAATCACAGCGTTAGGTCCCCACCTTTTTTTTTTTTTTTTTTTTTTTTTTTTT